GCTTGATGAGTGGTGCGTATGTCCGTGTCTGGGATCTGAACCTGCGAATCCCGGGCCGCCGAAGTGGAATGCGCGCACTTAACCGCTGTGCCACCATGCCAGCCACATAGTATTTAGTTTAGTTGGGTTTTTTTTTTTAACCCTATTCCCTCTATTGTCTTTGAATAATTAAGGCAAGTATACTAATAGGAATCCAGTTTGTAGCCAAATGAGAATACAGGGCACACATTGGTTTCTTGTAAATGTAAAGTTGACATTGAGTACCTATGACGTACTAACTATTTTAAATTCATTACCTTATATTTTCACAGGAGTCCTTCAGGGACTTCTGATTTGTGATCAGTAGCTGGGGCTTCAGGAAGCCTTTCCCCTAGGAAACTGTAATAAACTTTTGAAAAGTAACACTCAAAATCAAAGACACCTAGCCTCAAGGAGACAATGTAGCTTGGTTACGTTTCTCTCTAAACTTGACTGTAACTTGGTTGTCTATAGTAATACTCCTGAAGAAAGAGTATATCAAGAAGTAGAGGGCTGGCCCAGTGGCATAGTGGTTAAGTTCGTGCTCTGCTTCGGCAGCTCAGGGTTCGCAGGTTCAGATCCTGGACGCAGACCTACACACCACTCATCAAGCCATGCTGTGGCAGCATCCCACATACAAAATAGAGGAAGATGGGCACAGATGTTAGCTCAGGGCCAATCTTCCTCACCAAAAATAAAAATAAAAAAAAGAAGTAGAGAGATCTCACAACCATGGATGCATAAACAATGGAGAGGCACTTTGAGCCCATTCAAGGGCTTCTCAGAAGGGAGGGAGCTTCAGCCAGTGCCCTCATCCAGGGAAAACAGAAGTAATTCCACAGGCCCAGGGCCTTGTTACAGCAGCAGCCCCACTCAGACCTGTCTCAGTGTCAGAGACAGGGCCCCTTCTGCCAGACTGCACTGCTGTCGTCATTGAGTCACCATGTACCATAGGAGCAGAAATTTTACAGTACCACCTAATTAAATAGTTCCAGAACTATGTAAATTAGTCTGCTGATTTATGCATTCTTAGACCTGAAACAGAATGATAGCTAAGAAAATAGTTCAGTGAACCTCAGATGAGCTGTGCTTCCTAATTCAGGGCCCATGTGCAGTTGCAGCTTTGTCTCTTACCTCTTGACTTTAAAAAATGTCTTTGTTCATGTGTATCTTAAAAATAAGATTATAGAGTCTGTTAAGTGCAGTGTTTTTAACTATTTAAAGCAAGCATGTGGATGGAGTGGTGGTGCTGATGTTTCGTTGCCCGTCTTATGGCAACACACACACTGACAATCTTCTAAGCTGTGCACTCCTATCCTTGTGAGTCAGTGTTTTGAGGGGGAACTGAGGCTAACCGTTTAGCCAGAGTAACTTTGATTTTTATTTATTTTTATTTTTTCCCCAAAGCCCCAGTAGATAGTTGTATGTCATAGCTGCACATCCTTCTAGTTGCTGTATGTGGGATGCGGCCTCAGCATGGCGGGAGAAGCAGTGCGTCAGTGCGCGCCTGGGATCCGAACCTGGGCC